AAAAAAAAAAAATAATTTACTGTATATTTCAAAATAACCAAAAGAGAAGTTTTGTAATATTCTCAAGACAAAGAAAAGTGAGATGATATTTCTGTTACCCTGATTTGATCATTACAGATTATATAAAGGTATCAAAATAACACATGTATCCCCCAAATTTGTACAACTATTATATATCAACAAATATTTTTTTTCAAGAAAGAAAATGAGGTACTCTATCTTTTAGGTACTTTTTTTTATCTCAGTTTCTTACAACCAATGAAAATTCTGTAAGGATTGTTATTTTCTTTTTTTTTTTTTTGATGGAATATATTTAATGTATTTTATATACATGTATGAAAGTATACACAACCCTGACTTTTTTACTTTTCATACTAGATTTTAAAGATTTTTAAAAAATTTGTATGGGCCAGGTGCGGTGGCTTACACCTGTAATTCCAGAACTCTGGGAGACTGAGGTGGGTGGATCACCAGAACTCAGGAGTTTGAGACCAGCCTCTGCTAGAGTGAGACCCTGCCTCTAAAAATAGCTGGGGTTTGTGGCTGGCACCTGTAATCCTAGCTACTCAGGAGGCTGAGGCAAGAAAATTGCTTAACCCCAGTAGTCTGGGTTGCTGTGAGCTATGACAGCACTCTAGTCGGGGTGAGAAAGTGAGACTCTATCTCAAAAAAAAAAAAAAATGTGTACCTAAATAATAAAATTATGTTTATTTTTTCCCCCTTTTTAGAAAAGGATTTGATTTTCAGAGAAAACAGTATGGCAAATTAAAGAAGTTTACTACTGAAAACCCAGAGCTTTACGATGAACCAAAAACCAAACTTTATCTTAAGCTGAGTAGGAAGGAAAGTTCTTCAATTTATAGCAAAAGTAAGTTCATAAAATCATGTTTGTAGTTCAGCCTAGCCTTATTTCTCCACTACATAAACCTGTATAAATTCTCTGAAGAGAATTTTTAAAGTATGTTTTAATAGTACTACATACTACATTCATAAATTACTGTATGACAGATTTGATTGCTAAAAGGCATAATTTAAAACTTTTAGGATTTTAAAAAAACTATTAAAAGGATACAAAAAATGTTTAATTTTGTTTAAAAAGTTACTGTCACTAAGCTCTTGGCATCATATGAATAAGCATATTGATTCAGCTAGAATACTCTGAGCTAATACTAAAGATAAACTGAAAGATGTAACATGTTTTTTTCATTGTCTATAGTATTTGACAACACTGAATCCAAAAGTTTGCACATTTGGAAATAAAATCCTTTAAAATGAGTTTTTAAAAAGAACTTTAGGCATACTAAATCATTAGCTTTTTTCTGTCTTTTTTTTGCAGTTTTTGGCTGGGGCTGGGTTTGAATCCGCCACCTCCAGTATATGGGGCCAGCACCCTATTCCTTTGAGCCACAGGTGCTGCCCTTTTCTTTTTTTTTTTTTTTTTTTGAGACAGAGTCTCACTTTGTCACCCTCAGTAGAATGCTGTAGTGTCACAGCTCACAGCAACCCCCAACTCCTGGGCTTAAGCAATTCTATTGCCTCAGCCTCCCAAGTAGCTGGGACTACAGGCATCCGCCACAATGCCCAGCTATTTTTTGGTTGCAGTTGTCATTGCTATTTTAGCTGGCCAGGGCTAGGTTCAAATCTACCACCCTTGGTATATGGGGCCAGCGCCCACTAAATCATTAGGCATCTTTGCTTTCTCACCACACACAAAAGGTAACTGTGTCAGGTGATGGATATACTAATCAGTGTGATTGTGGGATCATTACACAAGGTATACTTATATCAAAGTAATATTCTATACCCCTTAAACACATACAGTTTTTAACTTGTCAGTCACACCTCAATAAAGCTGGAAAAAAATGTCTTTTCAGATGATCTTTGGGTGGTTTCAAAAACCCTGGATTTTGAACTGGATACTTTTATTGCATGTAGTGCTTTCTTTGGACCATCATCTATCAATGAGGTGGAGCTACTGCCTTTGAAAGGCTATTTCCCTTCTAATTGGCCCACTAACGGTAAGTATTACCATGCTTATCTTAATTTACATTTAAAAAGAATGATACACATAGCAAGCAAGAATACTAACTGTGTGGGATTGTTTGATTAAAGTCAACAAAAAGCACCCACCTCTAGTTCCTACTGTCACATCCAATGTGTTCCTAAAAATGTGTATGAGAGTTGAATATATAAATAATTTCTTACATCAAGTTTAATTCTCTTGGTTTATTTGAAGGTACATTTAATAAATGATTTATTTTTACATTGAGAAAGTTTTGAAGTATTTGCAAGGAGTTGAGTAGGCGGTTATGATTTTTTTGTATCTTATCATCTGTCTTGAGAAATTCTTGATATTAGGCTACCAGCCTTATTTTTCTTTTAATGAAGAAACCTTCAGTAAGCCTGAATTCCTATCTAGTTCTATGAATCTGTAGACTTCTCTGCATATTTCAATCTCTAGAATTATTTCTGGCAGTTAAATTTGGTCTGTAACTAATTAAGATATAGTATTTAATGACACTTTTTTTTTTCCTTTTTTTGTGGTTTTTGGCGGGGGCTGGATTTGGACCTGCCACCTCCAGCATACGGGGCCGGCGCCTTACTCCTGTGAGCCACAGGCGCCGCCCCTAATGGCACATTTTTAATATTTTATATAGTTTTTAATTTTTTATCTTTTATTTCATAACTGAGTAAACCTAAACAAATAGCTTGAGTCCAATAAGAGCCAATTTAAATAAACATTTGTCACTTGCCAAATGGATATTTTCATATTTGTTGCAGTTGTTTTTTTCACCAATACCAGTATTCTAATTTGGGATGTCCATACATTTCTATAAAAAAATTGAGGAAGAAATGCAAACATTTAGCCAGGCGTGGTGGCTCATGCCTGTAATCTCAGCACTTTGGGAGGCCAAGGCAGCTGGGTCACTTGAACTCATAAGT